CTCCAGGTTGTCAGTGGTCGAGATAATGGGATGATCGTGCAAGACAAGCTCAGATCCGCCTGAATGTGGGTAGCTGCTGCTCACATTGAGAAATTTCTTGGAGAGCATGATAGAAGGAGAAAGGCAGTGCTCCAGCTGCATAGCTCTAGAACCTGAACACTCGCCCTCCTGTCCCTGGTTTTTAAAGTCCTATTTATCATAAACTAGAAATCCACAGACCCCCTCACTAGACAGAAAGCACTTCAACCAGCAAATGCTTCTCAAAGGTTTGATTTACTTTTTTTTTTCCCTGGGAGAAGAGATTGGCCAATTGACACTATGCAGCAATCAGAAAAGGCTCACTTTTGATCTTGCTGCTTGTGCAGCCGATGAAACGGCTCCTGCCATTGGTTAACTGCTGACAGTAATTTAATTAGATAGACATTAATTAGGATAATCACCTGGCTCCCGGTCGCAACGATCATGGCAAATTGAAGGGAATGATTTTATTGTTGGTTTGGGGGGTTGGGAATGCGTGTTGGTTTTACGTGAGCATTGTTGTGTCACCTTTAAGCTTTGTGACCACTGCTTTAGGAAGATTCAAAGATGTGCAATTTACTAAACATTTTCCTACCTTCCCCCCACCTCCCTCCTTTCAAGCTGAGGGGCGGAGGAGGGAATTCGACGATGCTAGGAGACTTTTCGGATCTGAATGAGCCAAATATTCAGTTGAATGTAACGATTTCAAGTGCAAAGTATACAGAGCGCGAGCCGGTGGCCTCTTCTCGCCCTGTAAAAGTTCCAGAGTCTGTCTTTTCCAGTTAATACAGAAGCACACAGCACCTGAGCCAGTTCTTTGTGAGCAGGTCCTGCGTGTCCTCGGTGCACACCCCACCCCACACACACACACAATGCACACCTTTTTAACTACATACATAAATAAATAAATCACTGCTGTTGAGAGCCACAGCGATGAAAGTGAGCGGGAGGGGAGAGTGGGGGCGAAAAGCAGCAACTCACCCACCCATCCACCCACCTCGGGAAGGTTCGGTTTTTTGGTTGAGCACAAACACAGTGACAATCTATGATCTCCTTTTTAAGTTTTGAAATAATCATAAGCTGTCAGGCTGAAGTGCCTTAATGTATTTGCAGTGATGTTTACGAGATCTTTACTAAATATTTTATCAGCGAGCTTGGTTGCAGATTATCTGAGAGCATCTAACTGGGGGCAGGCGCCATGCATCCGTAGCGTCCCACTGCACATCCTTCTCTCTGAGGTACTGGCTTGGCGACAGGTTCAAAAGCCTCGCCAGGAAAAGAGAGGGCCGAGTCCTCGTGCAAATGGGTTCACTGGAAGCACTGATCTGGGGAGACAGAGTGGAAGTGGTGTCAACGCAGTGATCCTTACCGAAGACTCGTGTGTGTGTGTGTGTGTGTGTGTGTGTGTGTGTTTAATGTTTATATAATCTGGAAGGGAGAAAAGGAATCCATGCCAGTAATTTTAAAATGAGGAAGAATCTGAGGAGGAATAGAGAAAAGAGCCGATTTAAAAGGATGTTAGCACAAATAAACAGCATGAGGCCAAAGCGACCCCGTGGTGTAGGAAGCAATCTCCCAGTACTGGCTCTACAGAGGAGCCCAGCCTTCCTGGACCAGAGGGCCAAGAGCAGCAGAGGCTTGATCGGCCCGAAGCGGCTTCCCGTGGCCCGGCACTCGCCAACCTGCCCTCCTGCGGCTTTGCCCGGACGCCGAGCCGCGCAGGATTGAGGAGGAGGAGCGCAGCCCCGAGCTCAGCTCGGCCCGCGACCCGGCTGACAGGCGGGCGGGCTCGGCGCGGGGCACTGCTGGGGCTGGCGGCGGGAGAGGCCACCCCTACCCCGACCGAGCCAGCCGCCCGCTCTGGCTCATTGTTTAAGGTCCCCGAGCGGCTCGAGAGCAGAGTCCCCAGTACCCTGGCGATCCCGAAAGGGGGCCGCCGCCCGGGAGACAGGGACAGCGGGGCGAGCCGCGTCTGGCGCAGACCCCAGGGGCACAGGCTCTATCCCTGCCGGGAGCTCGGCCTGGGCACCTCCGCCCGGTGGAGCCTGTGCCTTCGAGAGAGCGCGTCTGCCCTCCCAGGGCGCCGGCCGCTCGCAGGGAGAGCGGCGCTGGGGACATTGGGTGCGTCCCGGGCACGGGCGGAGAGGGGTTAACCAGACCCGACCTACGCCGAGGCGGGCGCAGTCGAAGAGCGCGGCCGCCGTGGACTGAGCGGTCAGCGCCGAGCCCAGACTGCGTCCCCGAGGCGGGCCGGGCGCCTCGGCTGCAGAGGGCACCAGCTGTGGCCTCCAGCAGGGCGCCGCAAGCGAGGCCGGGCGCGGGCGGCCCTGGGCTGGACAGGTTGACGACCAGATGTCCCAGACTCAAGGCGAGACAGTTTTCCGGGAAGAAAAGACAGCCAGATCCATTTTTCCTTTCGGAAGCAAACCTCAGATCCTGGCCAGTAAGATTCATAAGCAAGCAGGGCCTTAGCTGTTCAGGCGTTGGGGTGCGGGGGAGGGGACAGTAGCTATGACACTATTTGACACTTGGTTTTTCTGCCCCTTACCTTCCACTGCCATTTCTCCTGAGAGGTTTTTGCCCTATTTTGGCTACTCTTGTTTTCTCCTTTCTTCCGTCATTAACTTCTTTGTCCCTGAGTGCCTCTCCCTTCACTGCTTCCAAGGTTACGCCCCTCCTTCCTCAGTGGGACACAGAACATTAAGTGTATAGCAAAAAGGTGAGACTCCACCTGGGCTCTTTTTGAGGCTTTGTCATCCCCAGCACCCTGAATTGGCTTTTTAAAAAATGAAGAATGCTAAAAAAAGGGATAGAGTGCAGCTTCCTCAGAATTTTTAAGGAATTGGCTTAGGAGATAAATGTGCACTCTCACTTTAGATTATCAGTACTAAATTCAGTGATTCCTCACATACAGGCTGTGCCTTGAACTGATATATGCTCAAGGAAAACTAAGGCTTGCCTCAGGATCAGCACACCTGCTGAGAGCAGTTTCTCAAACTTTCAAGTGCATACAAACCACATCAGGATTCTTGATTCTGATTCAGGTTTGGAGTGGGGCCTGGATTCGGTATACATAAGAAGCTCCCCAGAAGATCCAGGTGCCCCTGGTCCAAGCAGATCACACTGAATCGTGACGCTGGAGCTTTCAATGCCCCCATCCTAGTTTAAGAGGAAAGTAGGGACATCTGTGTACTAGAGGCAAACAAAAGTTTTAGTTCTAGTGCTGCTTTAACCCTGCATACTGGATGGGTCAAGATGCTCACGTAAGCACACATACACAGCCCTGAAGTGGCTTGTTGAGCTTGCGATTAAGTCAGTCATTTCAATGCCTAACCGAGCCTGGGCCATCAGACTGCTGCTAAAATAGCTGTACATTCTGAGACAAAGGTGTTCACTGAGCCTCTTGTTAGGGCATCCTAATTGACTCCAAATCTACAAAGAAAATGTTAGGTTTTTGCTAGGAGGGATTTTGATAAACTTGTGAAATTGGGAATGTCTCCAACATGAACCAAGTGGGAGAAAATAATATGTGGTTGTGGGGAGTCCAGGAGGATGAGGTGATCAAATAAGAGCAAAAGGCAGGTGTTGTGTAAGCCTCCTCAGTCACTGTACTCAGGAGATATTTTCAGGGTACTAAAGTGGAAGAGAAAAAAAAGCATTTTCAAACAGAATGTTGAGAATAGCCTTTGAATTACTGAGGCCCCCTTCTGAGGGCAAATTCTATGAAAAAAATCTTAACTAGCTCTAACAAACATTATCTGTGAAGTAAGTCATAGAACCTTATTTACATACAGAGAAAAATTATGTATCCAAAAATAGCCTGCACACAAGTTTAAATTAGGCAAAAGGAAACTTCTACCAACTTCCATTTATATTTTAATTGTAAATGGTTAGTAGTTGTAATCCCAACAACTTAATACATATTATATGTCGTACATAAAACATACTATCACTATATTTAAAAGAAGAAACCACAGGACAAGCAAGAAATGCTCAGAACCTCTTACTCCACCAAAAAAGACACGGTGAAACAGTGGGAATTTAAGCCATTTCTATTTTTAGTTTCTGTTAACTTTTTATTAGGCAATCAGTAAGAGCCTAGAATTGTTCAAATAGGACAGTAATTTGGTCTACCACACCATATATACCATCTCTAGTAGAGGTTAAGTCTAAATTCTAAGTCCTCAAGAAAAACCCTCCTTTAATGAAGCCTTAGAAACATTCTTACCATATTTTCACAAAGGGTACAGACAAGAATTATCTTCTTTTGTCTCCATGTTTTTCCATACTCCTTCGTGTACCCTGTACAGTGCTGTACCATGAGTATTAACAGGCAATAAACTTATGTACATCAGGTTAAAAGCAGGTTGAGGGATGAGGTAATCTATGAAAACTGACATTAGTCAAATTTTTGTCTTTATCAGAAAACTGGGTACTTCTAAGTTATTTGGGGAAGATGAGAGAAAAATAAAATTATTGCTTATGTGCTCATGATGTTAAACTCTCATTATGGCTACTTTTCTCATGTTGCTTTGAAGACATTATATACCCTCTACGGCTGTCTTAGCTGAAAGTCTAGTGGAGTTTGTAGCAGGCAACTCCCAGACAATCTCGACACTGTTGGTAGAATACATACTCTTTTAAAAAAATAATCAAGTCTGAATTAAAATTGCCCCCTTCCTTCTTAAGTGTACTCCTCTGACATCCTGAATGTATGTTAAGCTATTTGGTACATAATATTAATTTGTGACAAATACTTTCAATAAACCATGTCAACATTTTTCTGGGTTACTCACTAATGAGGTAGTCACTCATTAATGGCAATCATTTTACATTTGTGAAGTTTTATCATGACATTGATGTTTTATGTGTTATAAGATCTTAAAATGCAAAAGGAAACATATCTTTGTGTGAGATTTTTAGAGCAGTGTCAAATGTTATTCTGTCAATTCCACCCAGTGCCAAAAAGACCTCAGGAGACATAGATTGTAAATGTATTTTATTTTGTAAGCAACAATCAAAATATATTTGTGTTACTGATTTCTTCAAATATTAAATGGGATCTTAACAAAATTTGTCCACTTTGATTTATTCTTATACAACTTTGGAATCTGCAAAGACCCTGACTAAAGAAACACAACTGAGACTGAAGGTGTTACAGTGCTGCAAATGATGCCAGATGTCTTACATTTAACCAAATACACCTTCAGAGCTCCCTTGATTTTGAGCATTAGGAACAATAGAGGAATATACACTGAAAGGATCACTAATAGCTTTTTGCATTGCTTTATTTAAATACGACAGTATCCAACATAGCTGCTAAACACTGGACAATATTTGAAGTCATAAGTACATCCACATGTTCCTCCAAATGACGTTTGGGGTCCTAAAAGAAAAAAAATAAGGAAAGAAAAAGAAGAAAGAACCATATTACTGGTAAACAAATTACTTAGATATTTTTCATTGGTAAAGAAAGCCAAACCTAAATTTATATATATTTTACAATTTAACTTTCCTAAGATATTATTATATTCTTAGGATTTCTAAATCTGTTAACAAGTTAACTATCTGATAAAATAATAGATTACACAATGAAAAACTGATTTATACAATCAATGCTATGACTGTATCAGAGATTATAAAGAGTAACAAGGAATTCTACACAGCTCACAATCATTTGATTTAAAAAAAAAAAGTATAAGCATTTATATGTGTATATAAGCCCAAGTATATGTGTACATTTTCTGCCATTCACATCTACTGAATGTCTTAGGGGGTACTTGACTGAAAGCAGACATACTCAATGTGAATTTTCATCACTTTCTCTATTATTTTAATTTAAATTTAATCCCTGTATAATTTTAATATTTCAAGAATAGTGCTTTAAATGATTCAGGAAATATTCTTAGATCAAAAGTCACTGTTGGTAGTTTAAAAATTTAAATACAATTTGGATCAATTCTAAAATGTTAAGAAAAAATATTTCAGTCAGCTATTTTAAAAAAATTGGATCATAGTAAAGAGTATATAGTAGGTACAATCTTTTAAGTTAAACCTGATCAAATCTATATTTGAAATGTCTGAGTTAAAAATGAGGCTTAAAATTGCATTGTAATAAAGTAAGTTAAATTAAAATGTTTAATTTACATTTATGTTTAAGGCTGAGCTGAAGTACTTCAGCTAAATTTGAAAGCTTTGAAATAAAGGATATATATTGCACACAATAAAAAAATTTCAATTAAAGCATTATTTTCTTACGAGCACTGCTAAAATACCCAAGACTCTTAACTTTAAACAAATGTTCATCACTGGAATTATTTCTTGGCTGTTCTTTTCTAAACTACAATTTCAATACGCTTGATTTCTTTAAACGACCCAGGGATACAACATGCTACAAATAACTTCAAGTAACTAGACCACGGTATGAAATTTTCTTTATTTCAGAAATAAGCCTTAGGGCATTTTAGGTGAAAGAGACCGAGACAGACTGGCAGGAGAAAAAGATATTGGTCTGATTCCATTATAGACAGTTTTGCATTTGCCATGCAGTGGGCCAAACCAGTGAAGTACTATATTTTTTAAAAATGATTCTGATTATCATTAAACTTTGCCAATTATATATTTTTCAGTTTCACTTTTATTTTAATTTAGTCCTTTTATTTGCTGCTAACTGTTAAATAAAATCTGTATCAAGAAACTACAGCCTCAGAGAGTCATTTATTAAAAAAATAGTTACTGTATTCTATAAAGTGCAAGGCTCCAAGTGATGATCTAATATTATATATTAGACTAAAATAAGTAGGGGGAAAAGAAAACAAGGGTAACTATACACGCAGGATGAGAGAGTAAGACGAACTATATTCACTTCATTTTTGGAGAGTTCTTGTTGTTTTTAAATTACAATATTCAGAATGTAGTGAGATTTGATTTCACCAATTATGATATTTAAGTAAGACCTTTGCCCCTACTGCTCTGTTGGAGTAACTGGTTTTGTAGTGAACTGGGAATACACTTCCCTCAGTTATCTACATTACTTCTTGTGGCAGCTGGGTGATTCTTAGAGATTTCCCATCCAAGAATGGTCCTGGCCCAAACCTACATAGCTTGTGAGATGTGATGGGATCAGAGCATATGGTAGGATGGCTGAAAGCAAAGACAGCTTAGTGTCTTGCATCTGAAATATCAAGATTCTGCCAACATCAGCAATATGATAACCATGTTCCATGAAATGAAAAAAATGTAATCAACATTCTTTAAAAAACAGTCTAATTAATCTGTAGATTCTTTTAATTGGTTGGTGTGTTCCCCTCAACCCTCAGAAAATAGGAACTAAAATATATATTTCATCTTGGAAAAGTGAAAGAGCAAATACTTAAAACCCTTTCTCTTCACTCAGTATAGTCCAATAAAGCTCTAAGCTTTCTCAGGAACATTACCTACATATTGAAGCTTACATATTGATAAACTATATCATTTAAAAACTGTTACATATGAACTAAACCTACCATTCTATTATCCTCACTGCTAATATTTCAAGTAAAAATAATACCTGAAAAATTAACTCTCCTAGTAAATTATTTTCACTAAAGATAGCATCTCACAGGTATATTTATGATTTACTTCTCTAGAGATGGCAAAGAATTTGACATCAAATAATTCAGTGACCTTTAAAATTATCACATTTACATGACAGAAGAAAAATACAGAGTGAACAGACAGAAAAAAAATCATAGAGGCCCTAAAATAGTTTTAACTCTACAGAGCATATTATTATTCGACTACATAACCTATTACAGTACACCTCACCTGCTTGCCAACATTCTTTATTGCCAGCTGTTCAGGTGTCATCTTATCTTCTTCTTCTACAGCCTGTGAATCAACACAAAGGACAGAGTTTCAAATTCTAAATTTACTTTTCCCACCGCAGAATAATCACAAAAAAGATAATAGTGATTATAATTTTCATTCACAGAATATTTTATTCAAGTAAGTTGTTGAACAAAAAAGCAATTTTGCTGCTCTTCAGAATAACCTTCAGAGTAATGAAAACTATTATCACCATCATTTTGAAAACACACAAGAAATACGTAAAAGACACTGAAAATATCAAATTTGACTACCAAATGGTAGTGTTAACCATTTGGAAACCATTATGGAATTCTTTGAGGGATGGCTAAACTGCAGGACAGAAATACATGAGGTAGCTGCTTATGGGACCATGGTTCTAACTAGTCCTATTCTGTCTTCCTTTTCCTACTTTCACTATAGCTCTCCTCCAACTTCCCATTTGTCTCTTTTTTCTTGTCAACTGAACCTGTGCATACCCAGTATCTATTTAATATCAGTAGCACTTAGGATCAAAGGAGCTGCTGAGTTTTGATCCACTTAACAAATCATATAGTTTTCTCCCTTAATCATTTCACATACTAAAATCTCTAAAAGTAATACATGTATTCAGAAAAAAACTCTACTCCATGTGAGTGATCTTCAGTAATCACGAAAAAATAGAGTAATCTGAAGTTTTCAACATCACAGAGTTACTTGAATTAAAAGCCAAATCAAATAAAAATTAAATCAACCAGAACAACAATATACGCAAACCACTTTCTACTATTTTCAGAGTTAGCTACAAAATCTTAGGTGTAGGATCATAAATTTTCTAGCAGAGTGATTTTGAAATAATTACAGCCCTTAGATTAGCTACCACCATTGCCCTCCTCTCCCAATAATGGCACCACCACAAAACCTCTTTAGTGAGAATTCTAAGTTTAAGGAACCTCCTTCCTAACAGTTTGGGTATGTTACTGCCTGAAGCTAGGACTCTGCAGCAGGTGAACTCCTGGTCTATGATTTATTCATAGCATCTGATAAATGGAAAACAAAGGAAATTTAAGGATCGTCAACCTTAACAAATACCACCACAGCACTTACCACAAAGATGGTAAAGGGGGTGAGATGGTGGCTGAAAGCAGAAAACCAAAATCCCAGTGAGGGTTAGATTTGGATACTCTAAACTTAATAATCTTGCAGCTGCTGAATTTCTTCATGTGTGAACAATGAACATGTAGGAAATGCAATCATCAGACATTTCCCATAAACTGGGAAGTTTGGCTGCATTTCACACCTTCTTAATAGTTTTGTAAACAGAGAAGTTGAAAATGAGCAAAGATGGCAAGTGTGTAATTTTATAAATGGACAAACTATCTAGAGAATTTTCCCCAGTAGAACCGGCCTAAAGAGGAAAGATGGTGAATAAGTATTGTATCTACTGATTATTAGAGGATACTTATTTACAACACATCATTAAGAAATACATTTATGACTCATAAAACTGAAAGAAGGAAAAAATAAAAGTTAATAACACTCCAATCTAGAATTCCCTAGACAGAGAATATGTTCATTTTCAGAGTCAGATGTCACTCCTATTATTCTCAGTTACTTAAAAAAAAAAAATTTCCTAACTGGGAAATTGCTTCTCCTGCTATCTCAATGTTTTACATATGAAAATACTGGTAACACATAAAAAGTCTGTCTTTCTAAATTACTTTTACAAATCATGACACTATACCTTACCAACTTGAAAACATATTAGATGAATGGAACAATTCACATAAGTTTGTATTCTATACTCATTCAGTGTTAGTTGTTCTATGCACATGCCAACAACAGTACTTTAAGGTACTGGAAGGAGGTACGAGTTTTGGAATTTGGCTCAAAATACCAATCCATGTACAAAATAGTTATTACAGAATATTTTGGAGGACTGCAAATATCAAAGGTGGCAGATATGCAAAGATGAAAGTCAAAAAGCATTTAAGGCATTGATCTTATTTGAAAGGTTCAATGGAATGTAAAAAGCTCTAACTCAATTTTTAAAATTTTTTACATCATTCAACCACTTTACCAATTAGTTTTTCCATTTCCAATAATTAAAAGAGAGAGTTCACAAACTCTTTGAGAAGTGCAGATGGTAAAAAGTACTCTCAGCCATAGATGCCATCTGGAAAATGAGGAGCAGCTGTAGATTTAGGCATATACTAAGGTTGCAAACCCCCATGACAAAAGAGTAAGCACATCTCTTACATTCTAAGATAGACTAGATCAGATTAGATCATCTCATCAAACCCCTAAGTATTTTCTCCACCTACTTAAGTTACCTATATCTCATCTACCATCTGGGCAGACTAGTTTGTCTTCATTCATAGTTCTAATCTGGCTAGTCACCAGGAAAAATTAAGAAATGGTAGCAGCAGAAACAAATGAAATTCAGGCACAGGCAGTGTCCTCACTAGGCGAACTTCTGTGTTTATGGCAACTTCTGTGAATTGGCATAAAATTTTGCTTTTGCATTCGTGCTCTTTGGTTTACTCAACCAACCAAAAAGCACTGAAAATGTTTGTGGCTATTCACACTAGAAACGTTTTTAACAGTTTATCAACAAAGACCCCCAGATGGCTATCCCATCATGCACGGTCTGCACAGTTCTAAGAAATCCCTGGAATTTGGTCTATGTTGTCATAATCCCCTCAGATGTACCCCCTATCTTAAAGAGGCTTTTACTAAACCCATTAACTTCATTCTCTTTTTTCTGGTAATGGTCAAATTTCTCAAATGGAAAACTTAACTCCCAAATTACACCATTTTATTTACCCTTTAAAAAACATACATTGGATCCTTGGCACTTCATTAACACTTTAAAAGAGTCCTGGTGGATGTCCACCAGGTAAATTCCAATGGGCTCCATTTTCTTGAACTTTCTGAACACCTTTAGAGCTACTCCAATACGTGTTTTCCTCTGGCTTCTTTTTTTCCCTTTGACACCTTAACTTTGTTCACTGTATAACATGCCATGCTCCCATTTAAGCACATGCTTTCTAAAACCACCCATATGGTAAATTTTTTCACCATTAAACAATCTCTGCATAACTGCTAATGAATTTCAAGATAATGTATTTTACTTTCTTCTTGATTTTTATATCAAGTCAGTGTATTGACTATATAACTGAAAAGCATATTATGGGTTATGGGGGTAGAGAATAAGTTCAAAGAATGGCTTTTATAAAACTTGGGAAAGCAAAATTAACAAACATGAAACAATTAGAAAACTATCTGAGAGAGTATAAGAGGTGTGACTATGGAGAATAAATAAACAAACTGGTTTTTCCTACAACCATCAGTAATTAAACATTAACATACACATGCTTTTACAAATATTAATTTACTGAATCCTTAAAACATCCCAGTGAAGTAGTTAATCTACATTTTACATATGAAGAAATTAGGCACTGTCTCCTTGGGGGAACCATATGTTAATTCCAGCAATACTTCTACTTTAAAAAAAACTTTTCTAACTCTCCTTTTGGAATAGCTTATAACACTCCATTACATTCTATGCATGTCCTCTACAGTAGAATTTTCATCATTTTCATATTCAATAATCACTATTAAGTACTCACTCTGAGTAAGACAGTTCTTGCTCTTCAAGGAGCTAACATTTTGGCTTTACTTGCCTGTAAATCTCAAATTATAACGCAGTATGAAATACACAAAAAAGGAGTGTGCACAAAGAATGACGGGGACACATATAGCCATATAGCCAATCAGCAATGAAACTGTGACAAACACAGTCTCATCTCTCTCCAAAGACCTGGAAGTAACATTCATGGCAATTTGGGAAATCATTACTTTTTAATGACATATCTTGAATAATAATAAAGCCAAACGTATGATTTATTAAGTGGGCTCAAATGGCATAAATTCTTTCTAAAAATCTTATAGGGAATCCAACTTTAAAATGTAATTACAGGAAATAAGCATATAAAATAAAGATCATATATGTATATGTGTGTATACAAGTGTGTGTATGTATAATAGATATTGTAGTTCAGCTTGTTGAAAAAAATTTCTACAGCAGAGTCTACTTGTTGCCTACTCAATATACACCTTCCCCTTCTTCTTTTGTAATATAATCCTGATTTTATTAAAGGCAGCAATGCTCCTAGGTAAAAGACTACATTATACAGCCTTTCTCAAAGCAAGGTGTCCACTTGACTAAATTCTGCCAATGAGATATAATCAGAAGTGCTGGATGGGACTTGTGGAAAGGATCTGTAAGGGAACTGATTTAACTGCGAGGTATCCCCTTTTTGCCCTTCCTTTTTTTTCCTGCTGCCTGGAACTCAGATGGGATGGCTAAAGCTCTAGTAATCACCCTGAATCATGAGGAGATCTAAAGGATGGAAGCCAATACAAGGAAAGTGGAGCAAAAGATAGAGAAATCTGCGTCTGCAATGATTTCAAAGTTTCATGCTGGCCTTGAATTGCAAGACACATACATTTCTATCTTGTTTAAGTCACTGTTACTTTTAAGCCAACACAATCTTAGATATAAATAACACTTGCTTAGTGCAAAAGCTGAAAATAATTCAGGATTTACATCAAGTATGTAATTCCCCTACCTTTCAACCTTAGAGGTAACACTGTTAACAATATAATATGTTGAGATACATGTGAGATAGAGAGGTATCTTTGAAAAAGGGAGGGAAGGTAACATAGTAGGGACTTGCACGTTGTTACACAATTTAATTTTTTACACAGAACAGCACGTTGTTTATTCCTCTAAGTTGGTACTTATAGAATTTTATTCTTCATAATAAACCCTTAAAAGAAAACAGGTTGGTTTAAAGAGTTATATGCACTTAAAATTGAAAGATAAAATTGGAACATGGCGTCCAAAAATGTCATATCACTTTACTTACCCACCAGTGGTGCATTTTCCCAAACCATTTTTTTAATTTGAAAAGAAAAAAAATTTATACTTATAATTTTAACTTTTTTCTTTGACTACTTAATAAGGTTGAACTTTTTTTCATGTTTATGCCATTTGTCTTCAGTGAGTTTTATAGCTCTTTTGTCCAATTTATTATTGTTTTTTATAACTATTTTATAGAAATTCTTTGGATATTATGGATTTTTTGGATACTAGTGCTTTCTGTGTTATAGGTACAAATATTTTCTCCCAGTCTGACTCCTATTGAATGCTGACAAGCATTCAATAAATGTTAGTTATTATTTTTACTGCAGATAAACTTTAGTGTCAACTTATCAAAATTTTAAAATCCTACTGATATTCTTACTAGAATTAAAGTAATCTTTAGAAAGCTTGACAGCAGCTTTACAATATTGAGTCTTCCCATTTGGAAACAAGGGAATTTATTCACAAATGTGTTTAGTATTATTCAACTAAGTCATATACATTTATATTTCTTATGGTGATTATTCCTAAGTATTTTATAATTTTGGATGCTACTGTGAACTGATTTGCCTATTTTATTTTTCAATTGGTTTCAGCCTATGTAACTGAATGGTTACCACCTACATAATTCTTGACTACAACAGTTCTAAAAGTTTTCTAGTTTAGTCTCTTGGATTTCTATGATTGCAAACACATCCTATCATACTTAAATGATGATAATCTGGCCTGGGTTTCTCAATATTTATATCTTATTTTGTTTTTCTTATCTTATTGCACTAGCGCAAAACAAGATTTTCCTATTTAATATAGCTACTGTAATAAACCAAATGTAATCATATAATCACATATTTTATAGTAATCACATAAAAGATATATCCAGTCTTTCTTTCAGGTTACTAAATAGGTAATATTTCCACCTGAAAAGTAAATTGTCAGATCTCAGAATTTATAGGACTACACGTTTGAAAACAAGGCAAAGTTTTATGTTTCTATGCTATTCTTAAAATGCTCTCTTGCAATTCATTTTTCACTTGCACATTCACTTACACATATACAATCAAACATTATCAATATTTTAAAAAAATAATGCATCTTGGCATGAGTAAATTAGGAGATTTGGAATAACAGAGTTGTGGGTGTTGTAGTTCTGTAATTAGAAAAATCAGTGACTAATAATCAAGCAGAATCTTTGTGTGGAATTCAGACTTGAAATCGAAAAGTTAGGACAAAGGAATTTAATTATTTTCTATCCTTCTTTTACTTTAGGAGCTAACTGGCACCTAACAGTAATTACCTTAGTTTAAAACACCAACCAATTAAAAAGAATACTATGAAGAACTGGTAGCATGGGCCTTTCTTTTTATATTTTAAGTGTTACTAAAAACTCCACCGCATTTTCTTTCAATCACAGAGGGAATTACATTCCCAAATTTGGACTCCTTCATATCACAGCTTACACATTGTTTTCATTTTATAACCAAATCTTACAAGTTTTTGAGTACTACAGAGATTTTTTAAAACTGTAAAATAGGAAAAACTTCTGTGGATGGGCAGCAGTAACCATAAATAGGTTATTTCCTGGCAGTGGTACCAATATGAATTTATTTAAACTTGTAATGTTACAGAGAAATGAAAGCCATTCCTACAGTCTGCTGAATAATAACTTAAGTCATAACTTTTTAATTTATAAAAGGTTAACTCTTTTAAGTATGATAAACTAATTCTTTCTCTTTAATCTTCACAGCATGAAAACATATACTAGAAACATAAAAAATATTTTCCCTACAATCTCGAACCAATGGAGATTTCCAGCTGGAATACACATATATCAGGGCATGCTCTTCAAAGCCAAACCTAATTCTGCTGGAATTTAGTTTGTATGTTTTTTTCAAAGCTCAATTCTCTCAAAAGACTTGTTGCTGCATTTGGCAAATTTTATACACTGTCTCTTAGCTAATATTCATTTTGGTAAGATGTGTTTAATTTAAAAAGAGAAATACTACTTTTTGTGTGACAACCAATATTAACTGTCTCCAAAATCTTAAAGCTCTAGCCCCTACCATTAATTTTTAGTCCCACGTTTCTAACTGCTTGTTTAAAACAGAACTCGTCATCTCCTTTCTTAATCCTTCTGCTTCTACCTAAATTGAAAATGTTAATGGTACCAACATACTTCTAGTCACCTAGGCAGGAAACCTTGAATTCTTCGATTCCTCCTTCCTCTTTCACTTCATCTATCCAACTGGTGCCATGTTTTATTTGTCTATTGATGCCTCCCTTCCCACTGTCACTATGGTAATCCACACATTTAGTACCTTTTGTTTGGGTAACAGCAAGCTCCTCCTAAATAGAATTTCCACTTCCTATCTCCTCGTACAGCACTCCTTCCATACCACTTTCAAACTATTTTTCTAAAGTCAGGTTCGGGGTAGATCATGCCCCTGATCAGAAATAACTCTATCCTCATATTCCAAACCCTGTTATTTTAATAACTTTAAAAAACTTTATTCCTCACTATTCATCCTCATGTATTATGTACTCTAGCCAAACAGTTTCCTAAACGTCTTTGACTTCTGTCTCCCGGTCTTTGCCCGTGATGTTTATTTTGCCTAGAGTAACATTCCTCTGTATGCCCAAATCTTATTCATGCTGTAAGGTCAAGTTCAAGTGTTGTTATTCTCTAAGACTGCACCCTGGGTCTCCCACAGCTGAAAGCAAGGGCCCCTGAACTTCTACAGGACTTCAAGTGGACTTCTCTATGGCAGTGTTCTCTAACTTCTAACTTGAATGAGTATACAAATCTTCTGGAAATCTTGTTAAAATGTAGATTCTGATTTAGTAGATCTGAGAGTCTACATTTCTAACAAGATTCCAGGTGATACTGATGGTCTGTGGACAGTATGAATACTAAGTTGTTATGTAACTCACCAATTTTGGCCTGTACTCTGATTATTTATGAACTTTTCTTACTGTCCCTGTTTTCCTATAAATGAAGGAAGGATCTCTGTTTTCCACTGAAACTTGTACAGGAGATATTTGATAAATATTTGTAAACATAACATTGTATAATGTGTATATATGTTTTACAAATTGCAGGTTGTCAACCCATTAATGGGTTGCAAGCTATATGTATGTGTGTATAATATGTATGTATATAATTGAAATAGAATGAAATTGAGTCAAATAAGAAAGAAAATAGACTATATCACATGTAATGAGGGTAAATATCGTTTCATAAAACTTTTGTTGCAATTATATATACACATACATATACATTTGCATGTACTGGGTCAAAATGTAAAATCTATTCTTTATGTGGGTTTTGGCCAAAAAATTCGGAAAATACATGTTATGGGTTGAATCACGTCCCCCAAAAAGATATGCTGAAATCCTAACCCTGGTTAGAGATTAGAGTTATGCTGCCACAAACCAAAGAATGCCTGGAACTAACAGAAGCTGGAAAAGGAAACGAAGGATCCTCCACTAGAGGCTTCAGAAAGAGCAAGCCCCTGCCAATACCTCAATTTCAAACTCCTGGCCTCCAGAATTGTGAGGGAATAAATTTGTTGTTTTAAGACACCCAGTTTATGGCAGTTTGTTATGGCAGCCCTAGGAAACTAACACAACACAGAAGATAAATTTTAGTCGCAGCTCAAGTATTTTCTTAATTTCAGAATTGTAAAAAAACATAAATTTACGAACAAAAACATTATCATGGCCATATATATTTTAGCACACAATAAACATTTTCAGGAGATTCTGCAAAATATAAGTTTTTTAACATCCTCATATAAAGTTGTCTCCCCTAGTTACTCTTCTTTACATCATCCTGTTTATTTTCTTCATAGCACTAATCATAACATATGATGTTGTATTTATTTGTTTACTTTCTGTTTCCCCTACCAGAAAATAAGTTCTGTGAGGACAGCTCTTGCTTTTTACCAAATTCCCAGGGCCTGGCACATAGTAGGTTTTCAATAAATACTTTCAATAAATACTTATTAAATGAAAAGCAGAAAAGTTCATAAAATAAATGATATATATATAGCAAGTTTTAAATGCTGTTGTTGTCTACATCTCCTTGTTCCCCTTTTCTTCCAAGAAAAAGTCCTCTGAATAATGAAGAGATTACAAGTGTAAAATTAGGGGCTGGCCCGGTGGCACAAGCAGTTAAGTGTGCGCGCTCCGCTGCGGCGGCCCAGGCTTCGCCAGTTCGAATCCCAGGCGCACACCAACGCACCGCTTGGCAAGCCATGCTGTGGTGGTGTCCCATATAAAGTGGAGGAAGATGGGCACAGATGTTAGCCCAGGGCCAGTCTTCCTTAGCAAAAAAA